TGGTGACAATTCTCTGTGAAGGTCCTCACCACTAGCAATCACTTTCACATCAAACAAAGCCATTTCATTAATTGTTAGGATAAAAGCAATGACCATAGCAGCTTTAATATGTTCTGTGCTGACAGTGTGCAGGAGTCACAACAGGTTATTTCAGTTGAACTGATGTTTGTCGAAGTTGTCTCGACTAGGATGCACCTTTTGTCTTCGCCAAAAAAGAAATGTATACAACCTTTAGACCTTTCTGTTGGCCAACTTATCCATTAAAAACCATGTTGTTCTTGTTCTTTAGACACTGATCTCTCCACAGTGGCTGAACGTATTTATACTATTAATCTCTCTGCAGTTTGTTTATTACATATCTCCCGATGTTCCTGATGCTCAGACTTTAGTAATCCTACTCTATAAGAGGAACTGTTTAGTTACCTTCTGGCCCAATGGTTTTAGATTTTTACTATCAACAATATAAAAAGTGTCATTTCTGCTGCAGGTGCATTAATTCTGGCATTTTCTTATTATTTCCCATCTTTCTTCTCACACTCATCTTCCAGTGCCTTTAAAGTCAGACGGTCTCTTTTCATCTGCAAATGCCAACGCGCAGCATATTGTCATCAGCTCTCCTTCCTCTTTCTCTTGTCTCTTTCTCTGCCTTCGAATTATACACCAGGTCAGGACTAATGAGTGGGTTTGGAACATTTTATCATATTTGTCAAGATGAACCTGCTGATCCCCCGCCTCTCCAACCTTCTCTCTTATTCCGTTTGTCGAGTTTTAGAGGGATCCATGGCTGCACTTGCTCTCCCTCAGACTGACTCTGAGCCTTCAAACACACAAACGTTAGACTTTTGGAAGGTTGTGTGTAGAAATAATGGGCGTCCTGGAAACTCAGTTGACCTAAGACACCTGCTACATCCTGGCTATGAGTTCAGCCTCAGACCTTCTCTGACATTTCTTTGGTCTCTATAGGCCTGGGGCGATATGACAAGATTATCAACGATAACTGTCGGCCACGATAATGGTCCTCACCTGACCGCCATAACACAAAGATATTCAATTATGGGGGGGGGGGGGGGGGTACTTGAAAGACAATTCTGTGACTCAGAAGATGCCGGATGGCGCTACAGGCCTCATTATTTTCCTTTTCTTGTTGGTTCTCTTTGCAACGTTGTGAATCATTACAAATCTGCAAGGTTTGAAAAATAGCAGCCAGTCACAGTGAGAAAAAATAAATCATGTATCGTATTTATAATCTCATCGTAACCCTCTGAATCAAATCGAATACCTCGAGATTCCCACCGCTATCAATTATGTAACGCTTTTTATGAATTTAGCTTTACATTCAGTCTCTCTTTTTCCTCTTACTTTCTCTATGCTTCGCTAACATGGTAGCACGCTTCTGATTTTGTGTCACTGTGGTTAAGTAGATGTAATTGTATGGTGCTGTTGAATTGTTGATGAACACATTATTACAGTATGGGGAGTAGACAGTTTTTGACAGCAGTGGAAAAGGTTGTTTTAAAAGGCTGAATGCCAACAAATATGGATTAAAGCTGAATATCTTGTTGCATAAAAACATGTGGTGCAAATGCAAGTGTATTTGTAAGCTGTCGGGACTAAAGATGGAAACACCACAAGTCTTCGCTGACGTCTTTAAACTCACCATCCAACAGAATACTCAAGTCTTTATGTTACAATCAAGAGAAAACTTTAAATTAAAAAAAAAAAAAAAAAAAAAAACAAACAAACTGAATTCAAGCATCTCAGCCTGCTTTGGTAAAGACCTACAAACCCCATGTTGTCCCTGGTATGACTCTCTTGATTGTCTTTTACCAGCAGTCCTGTGGAGGAGACATACATTGCTAAATATGGGATAGAACTGGCCTAATATGGAAATCCTGTAAAACGTTTCACTCGGGGCAGCAAAATGGGATTTGTGGTAGAAGTGAACATTGTTTCTTGCAATTGTGAGGTAATGGAGGATATATCCTTCCACATCACAGGCTGACAAAGGGATTCGCTTTCATTCAAAATCTTTCCGACCTTGTTCCAAACACATTAGGAGGTGTAAATTACCCCCGCTTCACTCTCAGAAGTCAAATACACCAACTCCCTTGGTAATTTCTTCCGATCCATTAACCAGCATGCCGCTGTGTCGTGCCGTTTGTAGCTACCGTGTGGCTGCATCTGCTGCAAAACATACAATCAACCGGTGGTAGCCCTAACAGACACAGAAGAATCTATTTGGTAAACAGGCGTTTATTTGATTTCCCCGTTGCGCCGCGGCGTTCGGTAGTGGAGAAACGATATTGTGTTCATTAGTTTATGTGCATTAGCGAGGGGAATCTAATGGTTTATGCATACGAGGCCAACAGCGGAGGGCCCGGATGATTTAGGATGATGCTCATTTTATGGAAATCAAAGCAAGAAATAAGAACAGTTCTTGTAGCACACAGGCGCTTCCCCTCCTCCCGGTTTCCTGTCTCCGAGCCTTGTTCTCTCCACCTTCTCCCTCCCTCGGCCTCATTCTCCTTCGATCTCTCTCTCTCTGTCACCTTCCCTCCATCCCCCTCTCTTGTTGCTGTCAGAACGCATTAGCACGGTGCTAACGAGTGACTTAAATTAGGATCCCCGCAGTCCTATGCAGGTGTGGGTAATGAGGTGGGAAGACAGGAGAGTGGGGCTCCTCCTCCATTCTTTCACTCACCAAACAAGAGAGGAAGATCATTCTGTCCGTGCGAGCAACTTGCTGCGCGAGGCGTAACGAAGTTATATGCTGGCGATATGACAAAATCAGCGTAAAAAAAGGAGTGGGAAAACATATTTTTCTACATAACCTCATCACACAAACTAGACTGTTAAATTCATGACAGCTGTTATTTGTATTCCTGTGGAAATGGAACGCAGACGAGCCTAATGATATGGAAATTGAAGTCGTAAGTTGGTGAAACGCAGTCATGAACTCTCTTCTCAGCGCCGTCGGTTAGATTTGAGCTCCAGCGGCTGATGGGCTGTGATCTGTTATCGTCCCTGTGGCCTGGCCTCTCACAGACAGGCTAAATAGGTGGTCTCCCTCCACTGGAGGTGGAAATGAATCTGGCCTCAGATCCCTTCTCCTTTCTGCTCCCTCTAACACCCTGCCTGTCTCCCCATCTACCTATCTAGGCCATCTCACTCCGTGTGACATGACGGGTGTGAGCAGCGGATATCTATGTGTGTGTGTGTGTGTGTGTGTGTGTGAGCCTCAACTTTCTTAAACTACAGAATGATCAATTGCAGCGAGACTTTATTGAATCCTATTAGCTTTGATTCTTTCTCCGGGGCTGATCCGATGCTCGGAAGCAGCCGAGTCAGCTAAACACTCAGGGACTCGCATTTTTTCCTGCTCTTCATCACCGTCCGTCAAGCCGCCACGACTCATCAGGATCAACGCGGGCCTTGACGAGAGTGACACGGCCTCAAATGACGGCCACATTCTGCCTCGCATGAAAGTTTTGAGAAAAACTAATCTGATTACCATCTCTCCTCGCTGCCTCAGCATGTTTCTGGTCCGCGCACTTTTACCGCTTGAATTACAGTGGAGAAGCAGAGGCAGGGAATGCGGACTTTCCATATATACATGTAATAAGGTTCACTGGCTGGCTGTCTGTCTGCCGGTTTGTTAAGCTGTCACTCCAGACACATACACGGCTTCTACTCTCAGCCTCGGCACTCTTTTATTGGATCTGTTTTTAGAAGAGTTGCTGTGCGAGGATAATAATGTTGAGTCAACTTTGGTGGGTATCGCTCACAATAACTCGGTCGTGTGGCAGCAGGGAACAATGTAATTTAAAAACCCTAACAGATCGAACATGAATTCATTATTAATTAAACTGTGAAGTTAATTGAATTACTTAGTTTTATATTTATTTTATATTATATATTATGAATGAAGGAGTACAAGAGTTGAAGCACACTTGTGTGACCATTCAGCGATGGTCATCTCTACAAAGCCCACTCTGAAAGTTCCTGTTATTAATAAAAAAATATAGTAATTCAAACAAAGCATAATTCAATGAATATCACCACGCCAATCACAACACATCATCGGGTAGAGACCAGATGACTAGCTTTGAAACAAAAAAGTGATGTGGGAGACACTAAAAGCTCCAAACGTGTGGTGAGGAAACATGACCCACTCCACCCACTGCAACAAAAAGTGTGCAAGGGGCTGAGGAAGACTGAGTGCATGGATGTATGAGGCAGGAGTTGCCTGTTGGGCATATAAACATCCTATTTTAAGATACATTTAAGGACATAGCTTTAGCTTAGTGCCGTCCAGTCAGCTCTATGTCAGCAATGGCCTGCAAGGTTCAGGGCTGATTTGAAACAGTAGATTTTCTACTCATGAAATAGAGATTTGAATATGTTTGGAAATAAATGTCAATATTAACAACAGCATAGATGTTTTGCATCACGGTGCACTCATATCGCTTAGTTTACAGCAGTGGCGGGCCGTGCATTTTACACCTGGGCCTTCTGTGCTGTCCTACTGAGCTACGGTTATTTGTTTCTATTGGTGTAATAATACACGTATTCGTATTAAACCGTTTGGTACGAGGCTGACAAACCGAACAATACGTTTGAATAATACTAGTGCATTTGGAAAATGCAGAAGCTTAAATTGTGGGAAATATAATGTTTTCAGTGGACTGCGCTCACGTAACAGACAACGGGATGTGTGACCTTTTGAACCCGGAACAATAACAAAAAACAGCTGGGGCTGGCCGGCGTTCCGCGTTCGCCGGCCGAAAAATAGAGAAATAGGGGCTGAATCTTTATTATTATTAAAGAACTATACTATACATAAGAACTGGATACTCACTACCTGAAGTAAAACAATGTCCTTTAACAAAACACACGAGCCCTAGCTTGAAAGTTAATGGCCTAAAACAAATATCTGCTTCACCTGCTAGTGCAAACACACGTGCAACGTCAGTTGAACTCATACGTCTGTGAAATGTTACCTGAAGCTTGGGAGGGAGATGAACATCATGGTGGGCAAAGGTTGTGAGAAGGTCTCGGGACGGGTGCTGCAAGAGTCCAACAGGTGGTCCTGTTGGTGGCAACAGTTCAATTTAAGCTACAGTAATGAAGCCCGCTAACGTTAGCACTGCACTAATATCACTAGCATGCTAACGCGCTAAACGCAATTAGCATTTTACAAAGAACATTTACACGACTACATGAAATTAGTACAATATTAAACATACACACGTATTCACCTTCTGTTGATTACAGTAACTCAAACAGGTGGTCTTACTCTCTATTAACCGAACTTGTGGACATATTAATTCACCAATAACTGTTTTCATATAGCTAAGCTAACGTTAGTGAGTTAGGGAAAGACGAGGCACCTATTAAATAGGTTAGCTAACAGGTGGTTCTTTGGGGTAATTATACCTGTCATAGGCAGAGCAGGACGATAGGTGAGTTACAGGTATTGGTGGTACAGGTACATGTCTGTTCCGCCTAGGACCTCCTACTGTGCTGTGATTGGCTAGTACTAATTCAAATGAGCTCTATTAGCATGACGTCACTGTTAGTCTTTGTGAGAAAACGTAATGGCCAAGGCAGAAAATGATTAACATTGACAGATGATTAGCAATAAATATGCAAATATAAACAATCATATCAAATAGAATATAAAAAGGGCATTTTATCAAAATTAACACCATGGACAGCTTTACAGATGTAATGTTAAACGCTCAGAAATCCCAAGGAACATATAAAAGAAGAAAGGGTCATGTCATCACTAAATTCACAATGGTGAGATAACTAGCTTTGGATAACTAGCTTTATCCAAAGTTCTCTCCTACTCTCTCCCCCTGGCTTATTGGCACGCCATATCTCGCTCGTTTAACATGAATGTAAGAGGATTTGTGCGGTACAGTTCCCCTTGAACTCAGTTGTGCAGGTTTAGTTGCTCAGGCGTGCTCTCTCTCAGTAGGTATAACTTTGCCAGTTCATGTGAAATATGCTCGAGTGCGGTTTTCAAGTTCAGCTCTCATGTCAATGTTTTCTGCATGAACGTGCAAGTGTTATGACATCTGAAATGCCACTGAGAAGCGTAAGAAGTGGATGAAACGCACTTTACTGGAATAAACTCATAAACATAAAAGGACAAACAAGTTAGCTAGGAAGCAGCAGTACATATTATGATCCAGTAAAGACAATAAATGGCAGCACAGATAGACACGAGCTTCCTGTCCATCATTCCTCAACCTAACACAACGCAGAGACAAGGGGTCGCTGAACTAGCCAGTTACAGGGGTGTCTGGCTGAGCTCAGTTACATGAACTGTTTTTCACGAAGAGATTCTTACAGCAGTTACAACAATGAGCATCATTGGGAGGTTTCCAGGCAACCAGTGGAGACTCAAGATTTCACATTTTTATATTTCTATGTGCTGTGTCATGTTAAGCTTTATAGGTGTTGAAAGGCATATATCTGACACTTAGAGAGAGCCGACCTGATGAGAACTGACGAGGACTGTTCCCCACTGCTTCCAGCCTTTAAGCTCATCGCCTCCCGGCTCCAGCTCAATATGCTACTTCACAAACAGACATGATATCGATCTTCTCAACTATCTCGGCAAGAGAAAAAATACATGTATTCTATATATGTATTATGGAATAACTATTAACAAACCCACAGCAATCATTTCTTTTTATTTGTCCTTAAAATGCTCATTAGAGTCTTCCGTTATTCACACGAAATGAGGCGACAAAAGATACTTGTTGTGCACTACAAAGAGAGTACCACAAAGCACAGAATAAATAGCCAGATGGATTTGGGGAGGACTGGGAAAATGAGCTCTCTTGCGCACATATCTGTGATCTCTACCATCAAAAGAAGAGTTGGAAGATCTGAGCTGACAAAATAAATTTGACAAATTACAATGAGATCCATCACACACAACAGGATGGGCTTTCTTGCCCGAGTCTCCCTGGAAGCTGATTGGACAGATTGGACGAGCTCCAGCATGTTGTTGTGGAGCAGATTGGTCCCCGGCAGCACCTGGTGCTTTGTCTCCACTTTAAACAGCTTCCGTCTTCGAAGCTGGCTCCCTTTTCTGACACAAAACTCCCCTGTGGAAAAGAGAGAAGTGAATTGGTGTCTGCCTTCCTCTCAGGTACATCCTTCACCCATCCCCCCCCCCCCCCCCCTCCCGCTACCTTGTCCTCCTCCACTCTCTACTGCAATCCACTGCCCACTCAAGCAGCTGTCAAGGTGAGGCGGTTTTACATGGTGAGGCTCCAATGCCCTTGTCCAATTTCACTTTGGAGTGAAGCTGGGCTGAACATGCCAATCCTGATATTACCAAACAAATTAAATCACGCGGTTGGGCGCAGAGGAGACGGAGAGTGCTGAGGATGCTGGGACGGATGGGTGGAGGGCAGGGAGGGAGGGAGGTGGAGGGGGGGGGAGTGTTGTCAGCCCAGGCTGAGCAGCAGCTCTCTGCCTGGTCTGGTCGGGACATCCTAGGAGGAGAATCATTAATTGGCTCGGGGTGGAGGGGAGCGCTGGTGGGGGGGGGGGCGGCTCTGTTGCTGCCGGCCATGTCCATGATGGCGGGCAATTAAAGGCCTTATTAGAGATGAAGCGGCTACAGGAGCTGCAGGAGAAGTAAGAACCCCACCAGTCACGCTGAAAGAAAAACATCCACCTAGGTTTAGGGGATGTAACTTAGTATTTCTGGCCCGGAGTTGTTGTACAGTCGTCTATTCTTCCTGGATTAGGCCAAACATTGGTGATATGACATGCAGACATGCTGACATGCCCACAGTGAACAATGCAGGTGTTATGTTTACCCTACCATCTTAGTTTAGCGTGTTAGCACTGAACACAAAATACAGCTGAGGTTAATCGGACATAAACCAAAGTACTGGCTGAACGTGAGTGATTAGTTCAGAATTAAAGGCATCTACGGTACAAGGCAGCTTTTGGCATCAAAGCCTCACAATCATATGGTGACATTTTCTTCTCGCAAACATTTCAACAATCATACGGGGAGAAATCCATTTCGCAAGAAACAGAGCTGCCAATTTGCCCACCAACAGTGTCCTCAATCGACCGGAGCACAGCCGCCTCCTGACTTCAGTCCTGCCGGTTTTCATCCGGCACGTATAATAAGGAAGGATTTGGACACCGGGTGAGTGCAGCAACTTGTTAGAAGACTAAAGTTGGGAAGCAACATAACGCAGTGCTAGCCACAGTCCGGCTTGCATTCTGAATAACAAGTGCAACCTACTTTTTCTTGACTGAAAAAATATGCTCTGTTGCTCTCACTACCTGTCACCAGCGCTGCTGCTTTTGCCGTCTCAATGCAACAAGTTCAAGTGTGCTGTTGAGAGGGATTCTGGGAAAGGCGGTGAAATCTCCATCTTCAATAGAAGCAGATAAGACTGTGGGAAAATTGGCGCACCATTAAGTATATATTACCACACTTCATCACAGAATAACTCCTGGAATTGAGTATCAGGGGGTGGAATTTTCTGGTTCGCTGTCTTATCCCTGCTGGCGTGCGTTATATATTCTTCGTAGAGCTTCTTCACTTAACTCAAAAAGCGACCAAATTTATCTCGTCACCTGAGAAATACATCTGACTATTTGACTGAGAATACCCACTGAGTGAAGTTTGAGTTTTATTAGAACACAGCTCTTTGCTATAAAAGCTAATGGGGGGAAAATATAATATGAATGTGGTCGTGAGTCAGATATGAGCTTGTATCCCGTCTCTGGATTTCTTTTCACAACTGAATGGAGGTAAAACTATAAATGACTCAATGCAGAGACTATTTGATACTGTGCCATGAAATTGAATAGCGATGCATGGTTCCCAGAGGATACACCCTAATATCTTTGGTGAACACATGATCTTTCCTCTTGTTCCACCATGAGGTCTATATTTAAGGTTTTAAGTGAAACACCTCGACAATTAATGGATGGATTACCATGACATTTGGTGACATCGTTCATGATCCCCTCAGGATGAATCACTCCGATGATTTCTCGACCAGAGCCATCACCGGGTCAAAAAAAACTTTGGTTAATGACCAAATACCTGCAAAACTAACGACGTTCCCATCTGCCTCAGCTCTGTGCTAACGTTAGCATGCTAACTATAGATATCTGCTGAATATTGGGATGTTAACATTCTCATTGTGACCACGTTAGCTTGCCAACGTTTCTGTCTAAAACCGCAGCAGTGGTTCAGAAAGCAGGTACGGCAGTAAGAAAATGTTCCACTCTGTTCTTTCGCAGCTGAATTGTGTGTTTATTTGTACTTTGAAGGCCCCACCACCTCAATGGTCCCAGGGGTCATTTCAGGTTGAAACACCATTATGATACCCTGGCAGACCTCCTTGTTCTTTCAAATCCAAAATCCATCATCGGGAATTGACGCACTGGCTGCAGACCCTCCTTGATCTCCTCCTGCAGTAACATTGACAACAGCCAGCACATTCCCAGATCCGTAGCACTTAATCAATGTGTGCAGCAGGAGCTGAAATGTTCTCACCGAGCCCTACCGCACAAGAATTGATTTCTGAAGAGCTGTGATGTGCTAAATACTGTTCGACATGAGGAATCATGTGAACACCACTCAGCCAGCTACTCGTGTGATTAGAACAAAGTTTGATTCGAGCAGGAAGAAGGCTTTGACCCTACTTTAGCAAAGAGAAACTGAAGAACACAAAAGAACAAAGAGGATGATGTTACAGTGCAGCAAGTACAATCAAAGAGAAAAGTACTGCACAGTACTGAAACAGAATTCCAGCCATTCATAATTCATGTATTTCTGTCCTAGTCAGTGCTCTAAGCTCACTTTAATGTTCTTTTCCAAAGCTGGACTCTTCCCTCTGCTCAAATGCAACCCACTTACATTCAGTATATTACATTGACAATATGTTTGAGACTCGGCTTATAGTAATGTGAATACAAATACACACGTTTGTCAATGTTGGGAAAAGTATGGCTACAAAACAATGAGTACGTGTCCCTTATTTAAACTGAAACAACAACGACATCATTGTCCTTCATTGTTTTTTTATTGCCGGTTGGCAACATCCGCTGTGCTGGAGTGTGGAGCAGTGGAGCGTGATTAATTATGGAGTACTCTTGGCACTGAATACCATGCTGAAGTGGTATTAGTGTGTAAGTGTTATTTCACATTGGCACTTTTAACCTTGTGATGACATCATCAGTTAAGAAGGAAAAGTGGGAGGAGCAAAGTGTTTTTAAATGATTCCGATATATACTCAATTTTTAGTAGGTAAGTTAACAGAAACACTGGGGTCTCCTGGATAATGTTTTCGAATACAGCTAGGCTAGCTGTCCCCCCCCCATTTCCAGTCTTTATGCTAAGCTAAGCTAACCAGATGCCGGCTATAGCCTTTTATTTACAGATACGAGAGTGGTATGATCTTCTCATCTAATGCTATGCTAATATGCTAAAAGGCCAATAAGTGTCATTCCCAAAATGTTGAACTATTCCTTTACGGTTTGAGTTGAAGCTTTGAACGGAGAGTTCCCTCCAACTGGAGCATTACGGTCCAGGACGTTATATCGTTATGCCATGGCTTGTTTGAATCACAAGCTCTGCTGATTAAACGCCACTTAAATCAAGTTAGTTTTACAGAAAATCAGTAAAATAAAGAAAACGGAGATTATGACTTTAACTGAATGTCAAACAATTTAAATTTGAAATTGACACTTTAGCCCTTTTCCCTCCAAACCCCTGCGCTGTGAGTCTATACAAAGTGCATCAGTATTTAAATCAGCAGTGACTTGTTGATGTGCCGCTGCATCACTGTCAACCGAGAAAAAAGAAAAAAAAAAAGAGTGACTTTGATTGCTTCCCGTACTGCTGTGTACAGCTTGTGCAATTAAAATCATAATGGCAGATTTTAGACACCAAACTAATGAGCTCAACTCCTCTGAGTGGAAATGCCATTAGAAGTCCTAATGGGACTCCTTCGCCGAGGAACAAAACAAAGCCTCAGCTGCTAGATATGAGATGTGCTGCTTCCAAGACTAGAGATCCACACACAATCGTTATTTGATTAATAGTGTTTGTTTACATGAGGATACAAAGAAGCGTCTCCCCCCTACTGCGCCACGAGGCCCGATGCAATGTGATGTATAATTGGATGCTGGCTGGTGAAAACAGGAAAAAGGAGTTCCTGGGCTTGAATGACGAATTGTGGAGAGGAAAGAAGTGGATTAGGGTTTTTTGGGTAATGCCTTTTCACCTTTTGTTCCTTTTACAACAGCGTCATCCATGTTTCCGTGATTCAGCAGACTTAATGCTACAACCGCTCATCTGTGTACTCGCAACGTCGACTGTAAGTTTTCATTACGCCATATCCGAATTCGACTCTTGAGAAATATGACAGCTTAGTTGCCAAATAAACCAAACAGACAGATTCTGAAACAGCTTTCCTCCTCTGCTCCTCCCTTAAGCCCTTCCTCCTCCTCCCCCTCAGCCATCCTCCGCGGGGATGAGGATCATTGGAGGGGGAAGATTTCATCATCTGGTCCTGCCAGGATCTATTCCTGCTTTGGTGTGTCCTCCGAGATCTCTGCTCTGTGCCACGGCTGATGATGATCCAGGCTCCACACCTCCACTCCCGCCGGAGCACATCAATCACCCCCACTCCTCTCACGCTACTGGAGAGGGAGGGAGGCAGTGGTGGGGGTGAGGGGTGGTTAAGCCTTCGCTTCCACTTCACTCATATCAAGCAGAGAGAAAAGGAAAGAGGAGGTGGTGGAGGTAGGGAGGGGGGGGGGGTCGCTGCAGCCTCTTCTGTCTGCAGTCACAGGATGTCAAGAAAAAGGCCCCAGAAGGCAAGCTATGACATATCATATGGGGAGGGCATGTGCGTGTGTGTTGTGGATTTCATATTTCCCCTAATCTCTATCAGATCGGAACAGACACCTGAGGCGTGAAATGGATGCCTGTCCCAACAGAGGGCACCCAGAACTTCAAACACAATCATTCAAAAGGACTCCGAACAAAACGCACCGGATGAGTCCCCATTCACCGAGAAACTAAATCCCTCAATCACGCTTTGGTCTGAGACTTGACATGACTATCATTTCTGGCTTCTGGAGTGGTATTGGTTCCAGGTCACCGGGTCGGCCTGCGCTTCTGTTGATACCGGTGGGGAAGTGATTGCATCCAGGAATAAGCTGGTCAGCCAAGTCAGTAGAACGATAAAGAGTTGACTCTGTTGACGAGAACCTTCTTTGTGTTGTGTTAGAAATGAGGATAAAAAGGTTTTATTCGGCCTCAAAGTTCTCCATTAAAGGAGACATTGTATTAGACAATAGCTCTGAGGGTTGTTTGGTAGATCCAGAAAAAGCCAAATGATCTGTACAGTATCATGGGTATTTCCTGCATGTGCACAGGTAAGCACCTACTAAAAACACCGCAGCCTCTTTAAGCAATCACTAAAAAAAAAATACAAAAAATATATAAAATTGTAGTTTAATGTTGTAAACTACCAGCTGCTGAGACTTGGAAGACAAAACAAGTGTTGCCTTTTTCTTGCGTGGATGACAGAGGAAGAGAAATGTTGAGAGACGGTGTGTAAACATAGCGAGAGGCAGAGAGGCTGTGTATGTGGATTGCAGAGAGGCGAACAGAGATATAACCTTTGTTTACGAGTTCAGGCGGGCCGGCTGACAGTGTGTATAAGTCAAGCGAGGCCAGCCCACTCGGAGATCTACTGGCACGCATTAATCAAACACCGGGGGGGCGGGGGGGGAGGAAACGCCTCAACACACACCTTTTCTTTAACCACAAGGTTAAGAGGGAATGACCACAAGGTTATTGTGCCACCACGACACGGAGCGGCACTTTGATTCAACACCGCCTCTCCAGAAATGTCTACTCACTGGGAACCGCGAGGATGGCGGCGATAGACTTTTTAACGTCAGAGAATGATTCGTCTGGAGTCGTTTCACAGCGTGAGTTATCGCTGCAATAATATCCCAGAGTGCCGCCTTCAGGGTGATTATGGCTGTGACAGTGATGCAGGAGATGTGAGGCGCAGATGGGGACCACTGGTCATTATTGTTGTTTTACAACTCAGCAAAATAACTAATTTGTTTTTGCTTTATGGTATTTATGCTTATTTTTGAGATGAATTAATCTTAAATAAAGACACTGCAGGTCACTGTAAAAAAAGAAAAAAGCCAACATCAGCATCCGTATTAAAAAAAGAGCATTTTATTAAAACAAAATGTATATTTACAAGGCAAGCGATAATACTTCTGCTGAAAAAAAGCATTGCGCTTTTACAAAAAAGGGGAGTATATGCATACACAACCAGCTGGGGAATGACATATTTGCATTGCAGCTGTTACAGCTTATTACAGTGTGAATCCGCCCTGAAGTTTGACTTTGTTACATTACAACACGGCCGATGGACAGACAAAAGAAATGCAACGAAAAACGGCTTTTGAACTACTCAGACATGTTGATAAAGTTCAGGCAAAAAAAAAAACAATAGCATAATCTGTTTCACAGGACAACAAATGTCCTCATTCTGCAGGAACACGTGTTTCGGTTTAAATACAAATAGAGATTTGAGAGGACAAATGGCTATTTTAGGAGGAAATAAAGTGTAAAAATGGTACAACACAGCTAAAGCTAACAACAGAAGATTTCCCCATCTCTTAAATTAAAAAGAAACAAACCCCTGTGAGCTCATGTGAGCCCATTAAACCTGCACAAAGTATTTGTACCGTCTCCTTGTCAGACAGGACAACTGGCATCACACACAGTCCCCGTCCTTTAGTTATAAAAATAAATAGAAGTGGAGGGAGAAATTGTGTTTTGATAAAAAAAGATTCAGAATCAGTCCAGATATAACTATTATGTATACTGGGAAGCCCTCTTAAGACTATCAATGTGACAGTCGGGGCCTTTTGTTCCACTTGATTCTGCTTTAACTATTTCAGTGTCCTTTGTTGGAGAGAGAGAGAGAGAGAGGAGTCCATCAGGCTTTTGTTACGGTGAAGACCAACATACATGTAACAGTTGTCCGTGTTCGTCAGATACGTAATAAAAGTAAACAACATCACGTTTTCTTTCCCTTTGCCTCCTCTTCGCTCGGTTTTCTCAGAGCCAGGGGTGCCAGGCCGGGTCCATGCGACACAGATTGTCCAGGCTGTTGGCTGCAGCCACCAGTGTGTTGACTTTACTCTCTCCTCCCTCGAACTGAGCCAGGTTATGGAGGCGGGACATGATGGCCGTGACGGCCTTCTGGACCAACGAGACCAGCTGCTGGGAGTCCATGTTCTCCGGTTGGCCGGCGGGCGACAGCGGCATGGACGTGTCCTCCTGGGTCTTCTTGTGCCACGCGATGATCTCGTCGCGAAGGACCGCCTTCAGGATGCCGTCCACCTATCAGGGACAGATGAAACTCAAGATGTCAATCATAAAGAATCAACCATGAAGCAAAGTGTACAATAATCACGGGATCCTCACACAACCAATGTTCACATTTAGAGAAACTTGCGGTTAGTTTCCTTTTAGCACTCAAATTTACCAATGTAGCTCAGTAGGAATAAACTAAAAGTAGCTTCTTAGCTTTGATTCAGATTCAATTACTACATTTTTTGCTCTTGCAATAACGTCCTGATGGCGACAAGTCTGGAAAAAAATAGACTTGTGTCGCCGCCCCCCCCCCCTTTCTGTAAACACAGCATGCTAATCTTCTGGGCTAGACTTTTCTAAGCCACGTGTTGAAAAGTGTCCATCGTGGGACTAAAGAGCGATGCAACATGATGAAACCTCAGCTTATATAAAGTCAACGCCAGTCCCAGACATATAAAACAAAGCCGTTAAGTTCAATCGAGGTTGTGTTCATCCTCCTAAAGGAAATCTGTCTGTGTTGTCAGCAACTCATTACGGTGCCACAGAACTGAAATACATAACCAGAATGTGGCTACAACACCAGCAATCACCCCTGTTCCCCAATCCCACGTAAAGTGTTTCTATGGTTTCAGGCTTTAACATATTCGAGTGGATGATTGTTATGCGTTTGTGGCGTTTTCCTGGAAAAAAAGTCCATTTTCTTTGGCTTTACGTCTGGCACTCGAGTTTAACTAGTTCCCATGGTCAAGTGTTTTGTTGATATATATTTTAGGCACTCGTGCTCCTTCCACACGAGTCGGGCTTTAAGTATAGACCTATACATAGACACCACACACCTGTCATTACCGCCCTGCTGCAGATCCATTATACAAACCCTCTGGCTGCTCGGGCTTTCATTGCATTGTTTTTGGTTTTTCAGTTGAACTTCCTTCTCTGGGTTTATCTCAGTTTATCTGGAGAACTCAGCAGGAGCTTCAATTCCACAACAGACCGCTGCGACCTCGTGACAGAATGAAGTACATCCTCACTGCCGGCTGACTCCAACCTCTCACTTTAAATACACTTCTCCTTAAACCCGGCTAAGACTCGTGCCATCTGGGTAATTTTTCAAGTATACTTATTCTAACATTTAAATGCGATATTGTCACAGCGCTAGTGGCGTAATGGACCACCGTCAATCCGTGATACGCACGTAACCTCGCACACAAGTTTTATGATCCGCTGCAGCACAGAGCAGAGCTGTGTAGCCTTTTATGACAACTTTTACACATTTATATGTTTTAGAAGGATGCAAGAGATGTTCTCCTTAAACCTGCAAGAACTAATTAAGTGGGTATTTAGAGGAAACGCACACAAGCTGTTAACTCAACACGGACATATTACCACCTATGGGTTAGTCACTGTGAGCGGGCCCTTTCAAATATAAGTAATCTGTTAATATGAAAATATTGATTTAAGTAGCTTCAAAGCGACAGCGTAATTACCGAAATTCCAATATGAATCTACGTATACATAACATAAATGGTTAAAATCCAATATCTATCTATATTCTATCGCTATATTCATAATCAATATTCATATTCATATTCAATAAACCTAATATTCAACCTCATATTCAATAAACCACAGCGCAGAATCATATTTATTATTTAAATATTATTATTATTTATTTGAAAACACAGGATAAACATAAACACGGAACAATCTTTAGAGCAGACAGCTTACCTTAAAGTTAGGCTGTGCGAAGCATCGTGCCACAGCAATCATGGAGGCGGTGAGGGGGCCGGAGACGCCGATGGTGGTCAGGAACTCGGAGATGTTCGGCGTCAGACGGAACGGAACCGGACGGTTAGCGTCCAGGTCGCCTGTGGCGTCGTTGATGTCGAAGCGGAAGTAGGAGACGTTCAGCTTTCCGGTGTCCTAAAAACAGACAATCGATTAAATTAAAAGGTACAGTACGAGTCAGAAGTCTCAGAAAACAAGTGTGTGTAAGGGAGGACGTTGTAAATATTATTTACAGACAGCTTTATTTAATAAAGCATTCTCCAGGGCTACCTACTCATAACCAGTACCAATTAAATAACCTATCTAAAGCGTTCCTTTCTGCAGTCCTTAGACCACTAGAATATAACTCTCCTTTAGTAAGGCTCAGGGACTTACAAAACAAGCTCACGCCAACCAGACGGCTACTGTTATTGATCTGCGTGCCCCAGACGCAGAACACGTCCAACTATCAGCAGCAGAACATCTATAATGCTCAATTCATTCTCGCTCCTCTCGCTCTCCGCTGACTTAAATATATACAGCCAGGTTTTCATCTTTATGCCCTGCATTTATGTGCACGAGGACCGCTACACAAGCAGCCATTCCGGGGGAAGATAAGCTCCCGTATATGAAAAGGTGAGTGCATCTGACAGCTTTATAGCAGAGCATTTCATTCCAGCGCCTGCTCTCCCTCTCCTCCTCTGCTTCGCCCCCTCCCATCCCCCCTTTCTTCTTAATTCCCTCCCCACTCTCTCTCCTACTGTCATTTGCTCCTACAGGCCCCAGCGGAGGGCCTCAAGGCAGTGGGCTGAGACACCAGCAACCCCCGGGAGGCTCAGATAAGCCTGCAGACAGTTGGCTGCAGAGGCGGCGCTCAGAATGCTAAATCTCCACAGTAGTGGCCAGCGATGGCTTCATTTTTTGGGGGCTGGTGTGAATGGGGTGACGCGACATTAATGTGTCTTGTGTAGTGTACATTCAACGTATTCTGAGGAGACGATGTGACAGGTCTTTAAAGAATTAAATTTACGACTGAATAACAGCCTGCTGAACACCACAAAGAAGTGCCTTTCATGACAGATGCCTCGAGGCCTCATTGAGCTCTATAGGTGCCAACACGAGGTCTCCGTTTAGGCAGGGTGGGGCACAATGCTACGGCTGTGATGTCCTGTCCTTGCACTCCCGCTCGTTTGTGTGTAATGTTTGTGTGTGTACGCACGCTCTCTGTACCGTAATCCTGCTGTGTCTAATGGGATCTGCGGAGTGGAACAGGCAGTGAGGGGGCTTAATACCGGCGCTTAGCTGCCCGGAGGAACGCCTGTCAGCAAAGGCCGATTAGGATCAGAGGGGTTGGGGTGGCCGACTGACACAATCATCTTTAATAATGACTTTTAGAAAGCTGTCCGCGGACCCGAGCGGCAGGCGGATGCGCGTTGACTAGAGAGGCAGACGCGCGCTCACACACAAACACGGCCTCTTCAAATTGAAATGTCTTTTGATAGCTGTGGAGCGGAGGAACTGAATATAACGTTCTGTCAAAACACCGTTGCCATCGACAGCGGCTGGCTGACTGATAGGCCTAAGCGTGAATGTCATGGGGGAGAATGGTAATTCATACGGCCAGATATGGAGCCGGGTAATGGTGATCTCTTAATGCATCTGTGAGAGTGTATATCTATTGAATTAGGCCCCCACCATCACACGAATGCCACTCGCCCTTGACAGAGAGTCTGACGTTGTTTCTGCCCGTGTGTGTGCGTCTGCACGCTTCTCCTACCTGTGCGATCTGCAGCATCTCGGGGTTGAGCCTGTTGAGGTGGAGCATGAACTCGGCCAGGCCTATCAGGGCCAGCTGGATGGTGAACATCTTCCGGAAGGTCCAATAATCGGTGGCGTTCGGGAAGGTGTGGAGGGCCCACTCCTTCAGCATGCTGCGGGGCACCATGTTGCCCTGCACCTCCTTCAGGATGTCCCGCAGGACCTGGTGGTAGACAGGGGGAGGGAGTGAAGGTTAGGTAGGTGGTCCTACTATATTTTAAGCTAAATAAACCACATCGGCTATTTTTCTTAATTTTTCTAAGCCCATTAAAGCAGAACTTTCAGAGGTACATGGTTTTCAAATGCTTAGATGCTTCCTAAGCGACGTGGCTGCACAAAGCTACCGTTACAATACAATCACCCAGGATGCAATGGTATACAATGTATACCATTAAAAGGAGGCCACAGTTGTACCAGGCTACACAGATGTATTATACATTGTATGTATGTGTTTAATGTCACAAGTCATTTTTTTGCAAGTCAAAGTCAAGTCTATGTAAGAATTTTCCAAAGTATGTGTTCTATTATCAACAGTCCTTTATCCATTCACATGCATTATGGGTATTAGTGTAATATTTCCGATACCACTGGGAAAAATTGCAAAAAAGTAACTGAGGGCATAAAATCTTTGTTTTAATGAAAAGATAAATATAACAATGCAAAGTAGCTCTGGTGCATTTTGAGGGCTAAATTAAGAGGCTGGATCTATGAAGAACTTGCTGTGCTCTTGAAAAAAAAATGCCATCATGAACACAGGGGTTGTATAAATATAAATGGTGATGACTGGACAAAAAAAGTCACACCCACAGAGCATTGTATTTGAGATGAGGTTCTGTAAAGCTCACGGTCGGACACACAAAACACCGTCGCGTAGAGGTACGGACACCGAGCGGGCCGTCCCTGACCCGCCAAGATTGAAGTGTAAAATATTTTCCGTTCATTATAAAAGAAAAACTGTGGCGGGCCTAGACTGTCTGGTAAAAAAAGGAAAACACTGAGGGCCACAACAACAATCCGCAAATCATCATATCCAACCGGAGCGACTGAGACGCGTAGCAGACAGCACAGAGAGAGTGAGAGGAGGCGGGGCTACGTAGTCACTGCAGCAGTGTGTGTGGGCGTGTATAATGAAAATGACTTAATGATGAATGATTGTTCATGAGTTCCAATTCTCAAGTCTGTGTCTAGTCTCGAGTCTTTTGAGGACGAGTTCTCAAGTCACAAGTCTCTGTGTGTGGGCCTCTGTTCGTACGACCGTGTCCATACCTGGTGGCTGGCTTGAGTGCCTCTGGCCTGCACCGTGGCCAGACGATCGTAATACCGGGAAATGGGGTTGTCGTGTTCGATGCCCTTCTTGGCACAGCGTTGCTTGTAGATTTCCACCAATGACAGAGATGAAGGGTTGTCCTCTACCAGCCGCATCTGAGGCGACACTGCCACCACTCTGGGCACTGGAGAGACAGAAGACGTGATACATGCGGGAGAGAGATGGGGAGGGGAAATAAGATGGCGATAGCAGGGATGGAGGGTAAGGAGAGGGGAAAAAAATACCAAGTCAGTGACACACAAACTGTAAACATCTGGCTGCACTTCCTAGGAAACAGTCCCTGTGTTACCACAGTGTGAACCACAGATCTAAACCGATAACTAAATACTCCAGAGTTGGGAAACCGCTGCACTGAAGGCGTGCCATCGCTCAACACCGAGCAGGGTCGAAGGAGGTAAAAGGCTGTGCACAGCCCGGGCTGCCCAGTGAAAGCAATCAAAACATTGACATACTATGGCACACCAAATCAAATCAATACCAGCCGTTTCAGTTGCGAGGAAATGGGCTGGAAGGGGACTGTTGAATTCCCCGTCCATATTTCCTCTTAAACAGACCAATCAAGTGCATAAGAGGAGAGTGGGCAAACATCTGGGGGGGGGGGGGGCAAACCACAAGGGGATGACAGGACAGGAAATAGCACTTGAAAGCAAATTGAAATTGTGTGTGTTGAGTGAGACAGCCACAGAAAGAGAAGGGAAATGAAAGGGGAGCGTCATTGCCAGTCGGTATCAGTGTACAGCAGCACTAGAGGTGACTGTGATGAACAAATGTGTAAAAAAATAAAAGGACAAGAACGTAATCTCAGAGAAAGATCCTCCCTAGTCCCGATATGTTGACATCTGTCTTATCCCCGGTCCTACCAGTGAAGAAGAGGTGTCTCTTGGTGGTCTCCTTCCTCTTCTCCAGACACGGGTTGAGGAGCCGGAGAAGCTGCAGGACCCTCTCCTCGCGGCGCGACTCGGTCAGGCAAGCGTCGTTCATCACCAGGTACGGGTAGATTTTGCCATTGTGGCCGCGGATGTAGAGACGGCGTGCCGCTGTATTGTGTTTCTGGACGATTTCCACTCTCGGCATGAACCTGAGAGAGAGAGAAGCACAGCGAGACAGAGCTGAAGCAATTCACGATATGGGAGGAGTGATGTGTTCTTGCTGCCAGTTTTCTATTTTATCCACAGGCAGCAAGAAGTAGATACATCTTACATTCATCAGCAAGTGTGTGTTTTTGTTATAATAGAGAAGGGTCTTGTGTACCTGGCGATCTTGATGTAATAGTGTGTAGGTTTGGGCATGAGGAATTCCCCGGGGATCTCCACCTCGGCCGTCTGTGCAGAGAAGTTGCTGAGGAAGCGGCACTTCTCCTCGATGAGGAAGAACTTGGGCAGCTGCTTGGTCTTGGCCTCCAGGATTTTGATCCACTTCTTCAGCTTGGAGATCAAATTGTGAAGCTTCATGGAGCCCGGCACGCTGAAGTCAAAGTCTGGGAAGGAAAAAAGGCCGGTTAAAAACAAGAATCTCCGTGCCAGTGATTCGAATGCGGCCGGAGGAGATCCTGAAGCCAGCAGAGAAAGGGTGGATTGGGGAGTGGATGCGTTACCGTTTCCCTCTCTTAATCAACTTCCCTCAAAATGCCCTTCAGCAAGACACTCACCCCCGTAACTGTTCCAGTGGAGCTGCTATCAGCCGCCAACATTACACACCAGTAACAGCAGTGGGCAGGTGTGTTTAACCTTTAACCTCTCCTGCAACGATAGGCTCCTAGACCCGTGCTATAAATACCAATGTGTTTCTAAGCAACATTGTGTAATAACATACAATAGGGGGGGGGGGGGTTTAAAACAAACAAGCAGCAAACGCGCAGGGGACGGTACTTAAAAGTCGAGTCAAATATAATGAAAGAAAATAGAACAGAAATAAACGGAATCAAAGAGACGTTTGAAAGCTTTTTGGTCAGATGACATTTCAAACACTGCGAGGCCTGTTCGAGAGCAGCGGTGAAGATGAATTGAAGTGAGATGTGGGTGTTTGCTTTACCGGTATTTACACAGCAACTAAGAACACCTTGTTTCTCACAGCGATGGCCTCGGGGCGGGAAGTGGTTCCAGAAGCCCACATCTGGGAAAATGTCCGTTCTAAATAGTGCGTTGCCCTGTTGGCCACCTCACTCCAGCAGTGTGGTGAAGTGCCTTGCTTAAGGGAACGTCACCGGGTAAGTTATTCATTGCCGGCTGGCAGCACGAGGAGAACCGCTCCATCGACTTAAAACTCCCAAGTGGAGGCCGGGAGCTGATTAAATTAGAGCTATAAAAATGAGTCTTAAAGTATTAAATTCCTGTTTCAAGTCACAACTCATATTGCACATAACATATTGTGATGAGCTGCAGCAATAACAACGGAAGGAGAGGAAGTGAGCCAGGCAGGTTTTCCATTTTAGAATAAAGCCCCCAGGACATCTCTGTAACACGCGCACGCACACCTCCTATTTCAGTACACCCTGTTGTGCCGCCTGTTATAATGAATCCATGAAACTGCAAGGCATTGCCATTTCAAACCTGTTCAATCTCTCCCAGAGTGAGACCTCCTAATACTTTAAATAAGCCCTTTAAAACAGCCAATGTTCTTTTCGTAGCGGCCCTATTTCGCCATCCGTCCGCCTGCAATTCGGCCGGCCTCGCCGGCAGAGGTAAAATTGAAACAGTCCTGAAGAATTGCAACCCCGACAACAATTGAGTGCCACAAAAGTGTATAATGCTTACAAATGGAAAAAGGCAATATAGCGATATCATTCCATCTTTATCAGATATGAAACATTTTACCCTGTTTAAATCTGGAGACGGCTGCACATGAGACGCAGGCATTGTGTTATTACAACTGAATTACCTGAATATTTTAAGTATTAAACATGTTGTCGAACATGAGCAACGAAGGCCCTTTCGGAAACAATTAGCAACAGACATTTCACCGTGTTTCGAATTAATATAGTGTGACAATAATAAACCTGCGGTGCTTTATGGCAAGTACAATACAGCCGGAGAGAGAGCAAGAAGAGAGTTGTTTCCAACCCCACCGAACTCCTCTTTGACCCCTGCTCTGTCAGCTAGCTGGGGGAACAGGATGCTGAGAGATGGAGTGTGGTGTGGAGAGAAGCCGGGCTGCTCTCTGACCTGTGTGTAGAAGCCCACGCTGGTAGTCTGGCCCTAACCTGGCCCGCCTGGCAGACCGCAGCAGAGGATCCGCTCTTCTGCACCAAAATATGGATCCAGACTCAGCAGGTGGGCCACCTCCGTGTATAGAACCGTCACTCCCTCAAGTCTCACTGCCCTGGTCCTGACTCGGTGTGGGGTTGTGTGAATGTGTGCGGTGGGATGAAGTCAACTCAACTTTGTTGTGTCCGATTGGTGAGCTGAAGTTTCGAACGTGTCAGAGGTCATCACAGCGGCGGCGGGGGTTTAAAAGCTCTGACTGACAACCAACTGAAGCTCGACAGAGTAACATTTAACTGTGGTTAATTCCATTGCAGCACGATAAAGGACTCTTTAATAGGCACAGAATTAAAAAGCCGGTGCATTTATTTTTCAAAAAGAATCTCTTCTGACAAAACTCTCTGGAACAGATCCACTGCTAAAACAGTAACTCATGCAAATAGTGTTCGCCGTAATTGGATTTGAATGCCTCCCTGCTGCCAAATGTTATATGCGCACACATAAACCCATATTTTCTGGCCCACAAACCCTGTGAAAGCGAGTGAGCCACTAACGTGGTTCGGGGAACGGGAGCTTGGCTGCTCGGCAGCCTCTGTAAACCCTGTTTGTTCCGCTCTGGAGGGCTTGTGTGGTTTCGGTCTCTTGTCGGCCCCGCTCCCACGTCGCCGTGGGGACAGCTGGGTAAGCGAGGGTCGGCGGGCGCTCCGCCACGCAGAAGCCCCGGTGACGCCTGGCTGCGCGAGCACAGCTGGCACCGCAACATCTGGCGAGATTCATCAGCGCTCGCGCCGAGTCTCGCTCGCTCTTGTTTGCGTTGTTCGTTGAGTCGGTCCCGTGCTTTTGCTCGCTAATGCCATCACACCTGTCTTCCTCTCAGACTCTCCTTCCCATTATTTTCTCTTTGCTAATCTCCTTCCCTCTTTTATGCTCCTTCTCTGTGGTTTTATAGGCTCGTCAGCTCAATTTTATTATGGCTTATTTTTTCCTCTCTGCGTCAGGTGATCATTTCTTTTCATTCACTCACAGTCCTTGTCCTCCACTATCCCAGGGCCAAACACATTAGCTCTATTGGCCACTCTCAGGACCAGTGGAGGGGAAAAGCACAGGAGAGACTGAAGAGCAGAGAGGGGGGAGGAGGTAGGAGAGGCTGCGTGGAAATGCAATAAAAAAAGGGGAGACCAGGCCGTTTACTGCGAGGGTAATTCAGCGAACATGTATGTGTGCAGGAGTGAAAAGGAATCAGCAAAGAGGTTTATTTGTACACACTGAAAGCTGGGGAAGCTGCAGCGGGTCCAGTGAACTGTGGTTTAACTCCCTTATGTAATGTGGGGAAACAGACACGCGGCTTCCAAAAACAGGGGAATGATTGTTTAGAGAAAAATGTCTCAGAGGAGGCCTTTGGCTAAACTAGAAGTGCACCTGTCCCCGCTGGATGCCTCAGCTCACATATGAATCTGAACAATGGCGGCCAAAATGACCGGAGGCTGGTCTCAAGTTGGAAGGTGAAGTCCAACATCAAGTGCAATAAAGTCCAGTGGCTGTTTGTTCAACATTAAAACCCTGATGCTGTTTTATATCATCCTACTTTGATGACCACAACTACAAGGGATGTTAATGTTGGTTTTGAATTGCTATTTGTACGCTTCTACGAATGATTTTCTCTGTAATGAGAACACAATAGCTACCCTGCAATTGTTTTGAACCAACATATAACAGGGAAAGGGAGTTAAATGTTCCATCTCTGTGCCACAGTAGCTTTAGTAGCACCTACCTGTTCCAATGTTGTATTATATTTGAACCATATTCACTTTTGCTCCAGCAAGCAACCCATAAACAAAACAAAACCTTGACAAAGAGGATAAATACTGTCGGCACGACTTCTAGCCTCAACCACAATAAAACAGCACATGACTGGTGGCTGGTGGTACTTTAGCCTAACTGGGACTACGCTACTACATTTATATTTCAATACAAAATGGCCAAAGGTTCAGTGTCCATATGGTGGAGAACATTTTGACTTAAGATGGAGAATCCTTTCCACCCTGATGAAATGCCACCAGTGAATAAAATGATTTAATTCCAGTTTCAGTAGCGAGACGTACTGTAACAACTAAGACTGCACGCTGATCTTTTACAAAAGAGTGGATGGTTTCATGGTTTCAGCTGAGGCAAGAGACCCGAGAGCCTTCTGCTCTATTTCATCAAACCTGTGATCGCCACCGCAGCGCTGCACCAGCTTAGATTAGAAATGCAGCTGACTGGTGTGTAATCAAAACCATCGTGGCCATGTGTGCACACAGTGTAATAAAGACACAAACTGACCCCCCCCGTATCCCTCCCACACACACACACACACACACACACACACACACACACACACACACAC